AATAAATATGATTAATACATATTATTATTATACAAGCAATTCCTTCATCTGCAAACCAAACCCAGTGCTACTGAGTTGATTCTGACTCATAGAGACCCTACAGGAGAGAGTAGAACTGCCCCATAGAGTTTACAAGGAAGCAGACTGCCTCATCTTTCTCCCGCAGAGTGGCCACGGGGTCAGCAGCCAAGCACTGTAACCACTGCACTACCAGGGCTCCTGATTTGGCTCAAAAACAAAATCAAATCCACTGCCATCAAGTCGAATCTGACTCATAGCAACCTACAGAACAGGGTAACTGCCCCATCATGTTTTCAAGGCCATAAATCTTTGCAGAAGCAGAGTGCCTCATCTTTCTCCCACAGAGTATCTGGTGGGTTCAAACAACCAACCTTTTGTTCAGCAGCCAAATGCTTTAACCACCACCCCATGAGAGCCCCTTCATTTACAAGGGATTTTATATATTCAAGTTGGTCCCAAACTACTTTCTATATCTCATCACTGGGAAACTAGGAGACTTGCCTGATATTTGTAGGTACCCTAACTTCATCCTGACAATGGAAAAAGAGAAGCAAAGATGCTGGTAGTGTGAAAGCGAGTCAGTGACTAGACAGGGTTCAAGAAATAGAAAAGACACTGGGAACAGAATATTTTATTTTAAAAAAGAATACAAACAAACTCACTGCTGTGGAGATGGACCCAACTCATAGCAACCCCTCTTTGGGTTTCCGAGGCAGTATCACTGTGGAAGTAGACTGCCCAATCTTCCTTCTCAGGAGTGGCTGGTGAGTTTGAACTGCCAGCCTTCTGGTTAGTGGTCAAATGCCTTAGGCACTACACTACCAGAACTCCTTAAAAAAAGAATAGGTACCCTATTTATTACTTAAGCTGGGATGAATGAATTCCCACACTCAAATTTTCCATTAGACAAAGAGCAAAAAAAAAAGTTGCTGTTAACTCCAAATTTTGTGTACTGATAAACTAACCAACAAAAGACATGGGGCCCTGAAACAATAGCTCAATGGATCAAGGCAAGAAAATAAGTCACTGGATTGAACTGTGAGTTTTCCCTTCAGCCTCACATTGTATTGTTCCCATTGTGTTCTGTCAAAGCCATTCGTCTACATTCCCCAGAGAAAGGCATTCTGGAGGGAAGCTGGGAAGTCTGGTAAAATTGCCCCAAGAGCAAAAAGCCCCCCCATAACATAGTAGCCACTGTATTAAGGTCCTATCTGCATGATCATTAATGAACTGAATGCCCTCAATGAAATGCAAAACCAAATTCCATCATTTTACAACCTAAAGGGTTCCTTTCCTTTGTGGCTCATGAATGAAATTCAAGTGTAAACATTTATCAACAAATAGACAGGTTTGGTAGCTCTCATAATAATAATAATAACAACAACAACAACTTGCTACTGTAGGCACATTTCCCTCACATTTGGGAAGAATATGAAGCCCTATTAAGTCCACTGGGAGCTCTGGTAGCATAGTGCCTAAGGCACTTGACTGCTAACCAGAAGGCTGGCGGTTCAAACCCACCAGCCACTCCTCGGAAGGAAGGTTGGGCAATCCTACTTCTGTAGTGATACTGCCTCAGAAACCCAAGGAGGGGTCGTTATGAGTTGGGGCTGACTCGATGGCACATAACAACAACAACAACAACTGCCTCAGAAACCCAAGGAGGGGTCGTTATGAGTTGGGGCTGACTCGATGGCACATCACAACAACAACAACAGTAAGTCCACTTACACTGAACAATAAAATCTCCCAAAAAGAAAAGAAACACAAAATCTTCTATCTACTCCAGAAATTTTAAATAACTTTGTAAACAGCAGCATAACTGTTTTGCTAGTTATAAGGCAATATTCATAATAGTTCAACATTAAATCCAGTTGCTGTACAGTCAATTCTAAGTTATGGTAACCATTAAGAGATGTTATTGGATATTTGTATAAAAATGATATCTGCTGAAACGTTCAAATTAATGTCCTGCAATATATGTAGACATATACTGATAAGGTTAAATGAGAGTTACTCTTTATTTAAAAAATGTATTAGTCACTCAAATAAGTTAGTTAAAATTAATATTAAAAATAATCCAATGTAAGAAGAGATAAGATTTAAAAAAAAAAGAGTAAAGGAGGAAATGAGTGAACACAACTATAGCATTTATATCCTTTTCTTTCATTTATTGAGCTTTTCTATCGCTGAATTGCCTCAACATTTAATCTAGAACCTAAAGGAACACTGGTGGTGCTGTAGTTAAAGCATTATGCTGACCAGAAGGTCAGTTGTTTGAACCCATCAGCCCACTCCATGGGAGAAAAATGAGGTAGTCTGCTTCTGTAAAGATTTATAACCTTGAAAACCCTGTGGGACGGTTCTACTCTGTCCTATAGGGTTGCTATGAGTCAGAATCAACTACATTGCAATGAGTTGAGTTTGGTTTTTCAGTCTCAGATTCTCAAGCAGAAATCACATGAAAGGAAATGCAAGCTAAATGTCAAAGTCAATGTCAAACAATAATTTCTTTCTTTACACTGAAAATGTTCCCCCAAATATATCACCTGACAGAATTTCCTGGTGGAATTCTTCTGAAATGCTACATGCAAATGTATCTGCTCCATGTCCCCTTGCTTAATAAAGTAGCTTCCCCTGATGAGAGTCATAGAAACTAGACCCAGAAAACACCATTCAAACAACCCTGAGATGGCATGAAAGCACAGGTAAACACAATGACCAAGTCCCACAGTCATTGTTCAGGGCATCCTGCCCTCTCCTAGGCATCATGGTTCTTGGCAGCCACCAGTTCTCCCAAACATCCTTCTGAGGGCAGGGGCAGCATCAAGGATTTTGGGTGCTAGCCCAGAAGCATTTCTTGTGTGAGAATTTTGCTGAGCAGAGCACTGTTAGAAAGGCAAGAACTCCCTCTGCCAACCAGAGTGCCAACTGGACAGCCCAAGAGTTCTGTAGGGGGTGCCCATATCTCTGCAAGACTGAGAGTTAAACTCCAATAGAGGGCAATGGTCACTTTTGTTAATGATACCTCTTAGATCTTGATAGTCAGCTGCAAGCTGTCACCCAATATCCTTATGGACCCTAATCAGCACTAGGCAACTTTCTTAATCTCAAAGAAGAATCATATCAACAAACCACCGACAAGCACACCCCCTGTCCTCAAGGAGCAGGTAGTCTAGCTCGTGAGAAAATGAGCATTTAAAATACATAGACTACACATAGACAAAATACATGCATAAAACACAATAATACACCTAGAAGTAGAGAGTAATTCTACATACTGGCTATTGACTAAAATGGGCAGGGCTAATTAATACCACAGGGGTTCAGGAAAGAATCTCTTTGGAGAGATTTGTGAGAGAATAAGAGCAAGAACCAAAAACAAAACAAAACCAAAAAACCCATTGCCATCGATCCAGTCAATTCAAGAGGAGGGGACGAAGAGGCCATAATAGGAGTTGGGTTGGGCCAAGAAGGATAAATAGCACTTATATAGGGGGAGGAAGAGCGAATGATGGAGCAAAGCTGAGGAAACAGACACAAGTATGGAGGTGAAGCAAAGGGTAAGGGGCCTGTCCACCAAGAAGGTAAGTGGCGGGACCCACCTGAGAGAAGAAAGCACATGGAGCTGGATCCTAGCGACTGTGAGAAAATCAAAAACACAAAGATGGGTAATGAGAGGATTATGAAAGACAGGCAGGACAGGGAAGGGTCACATAGGAAATAACAGAGAGTATAAGGAAAGGGGAAACATGTCATTATATTACCTCAATTTCCCCATTAAATGTTAGTGCTGTTAGTTTAGTATATTACTGATGTATGGTACAGGGCTTTTCACATAATGGTATCTAAAAAAAAAAAAAAGCTTCTGAAAGCCATCTCTGCACCATTTTCTGAGTTGCATGCCTTATACGGATGAGCTATTTAACTGCAAGGTTGCATTATTTTCCCTTTTTAATGAACAAGAAGGCTGAGAGTCAGAGGTGTAAAATGCCTTTTCTGGCATCACAGGGGAACTGTGTACTGGTACCAGATTCACACCATCCTCTCTGGGACTTCCGAGTGCAGCTAAGAATGTAAGATTCACCAGGGCAGGAAGAGTGCTTTTGCTCTGTCCACTGTTGTGTCCCGAGGCCAAAACAGTGTGTGCCACAGAGCAGGCATGCAGTAAACGTTTATTTGAATGAATTCATCTTAACTGAGATTCATTCTGCATAAGACACATTCCAATTTGCCGAATGAATCACAAAATGAAGCAAGCCTCCCAGTGATTTTACTAAGACACTAACAGTAAGAGATTCAGGAAATTTTACAAACACTGCCTTAGAAATAACTCTTGTAAGCATAACAACAATATTTTCACAAAGGATACCATTTCTTCACTAAGTGGATAACATTCAGGA